ATAGTGGTTGTATTTTATTTGTAATATTTAGTCTCTTTCCCATTACGTGGGATCCCTTGATGTTTTGCATGGAATTTCTAGAGTAGTTGGTATGCTTTGCTGCTAAAGCAATTTCCTGGAAACACTTATTTTAATTGATACTGACTTAAAATGTTCATTTTTCTTAACTGGATGGCAATACGAAGACCTTGGTTTCCTTTAAAAACCTAAAATTGTTTTTGATAATTATTCTTTCTCGATGAATTATTCCGAATGATGTATGTATAGGAATGAGCTTCTTTGGGTGATGTGAATGCAAATACGGTGCTGATGCATTGTTATGTATCTAACATTGACATATATATATCTATATATATATAGTATGTTTGTATTTATGCCTGCTGAGCAAATAAATGGTGTAAATTTACCATGCTTTTAATTAAACTTTTTTAATGTAATTGAAGTTTCTGTTAATTGTGGACGATTTAATCCCACTGTAGAACTGTTCGTTTGACTCAATTCTAATTGATGAATATGGAATTGATACGCATTTCCTTACCTGCTACAGATGGAACGAGTGAAAGACAGGCTCAAGCAAAAGAAAATTGATCTTCATTACACTGAAGAAGCTGTTAAACTTCTTGGTGTACTGGGTTTTGATCCAAATTTTGGGGCAAGACCAGTTAAAAGAGTAATACAACAATTGGTTGAAAATGAAATTGCTATGGCAGTTCTGAGGGGAGATTTCAAAGAAGAGGACTCAATCATTGTTGATGCTGATGTGACTCCGTCAGGCAAGGAACATCCGCCTCCAAATAGGTTGCTTATTAAGAAGCTGGACAGCCGTGTTACAGATGCCATGGTTGTCAATGACTAATTTTGCCCGCTGGACTCGAACGAAAGCTTCACTTAGAAAAAGGTGTTCTCTGTTTTTTTTACCTTAACTCCTTAAGGTGCGAACTTCGTCCTAGTGTTTATGGGTTTTCTTTTATTTATGTAGCAAACAACTGATAGATAATTTGAAATAAATTGAAATTTTAACTTATAAGTAATCTAAAAGAGGCGAGTGTCTTTTAGTTCTTATTTATTGCCTTAAATGTTTTATTTTTATTTGATTTTTCCTTGTCCTTAAATTATTTGATAGCAAAACTCTGGAAAATGCTACTAACAATTTATAAGATACTAGTTAAGGAGTAAAAAAGTATTATCAACACATCTTTTCTGTAATTTTTAATATACCCTTATACTAATAAAAAATTTTACTTATTAAATCTTAACACATTAACAAGATTCAAATTCGTCTTTAATGGTCCGTAACGGCTTAAACGTTTGCGAAAATTTTCTCCCTGCGCCCCTCCCCAGGCGCTCTGTTCATTATTGAATGTACCGAAGCGTATCTACGAATAAATATAGTTGCTAAATAGTAGGAAACTTGTACCGACGGAAATTGAATATCCAATACCCTTGATTTTCGTTAGATCCTAACCCTTTCTTTTTTGGGTAATTAATTGCTTAGTCAATTACAGTGCCATGTAACCCATGAACAAAGCAATGAAGTGCTGATTTCAAACCAGAACGTGAATCAACCAGGCGAAATTCAAGGACCATGGTGATTTTGTTTTTGTTTTTGGACTACTTTCTTACTCGCGCTGTATTGTTAATTAAGGAATGCGCTAGTGCTGTTTATATTTTGTTCTATGTTTCATGTTCTTGACAATTTTGGTCGCGTTACAACTTATGTTAACTTGGTCTTTATTTAATAAGCATAATTTTGATACATTGTCAATATAAAAAAAATATGCAATCAATTAATTTAAATTAATTTTAAATATACTTTTTAAAGTAATTGTTATAAACGTTAATTACTTTTAATTACATGATATATTTAATTTATTTGAATTAAATTCGTAAAATTTGACAAAATAAAGAACACGATATTTTGTTGGCCCAAAAGTTAGTTGGTCATGACGAAACGGAATCGGAAAGAATTACTTGTGGAGCATGAAGGGGGACAGGATTGGAATCCAAATTTATTTTGGGCCCCTAGAAGAAACTCCTACCAGTATTTTGTTCTTTTTTATACAGGTAAAGAAAATGCCAAAAGCAGTGCAAATCACATTAGTGTATGCAGGAGTTCAATAGATATTTTTTTTGGTCGTGAGGAGTTTAATAATTAAAACAACAGATATGGCAACGGAGAATATATCATTTTGGTATGGGCTTAGGATGAATGAGCTTTTGATGTTTTAGTGATTTCACCCAAATCAATTTTGCTACTCAGATCCAATATCCATGCTAATTTTTATAATAAAAATTTCATTATTAAAAACTAATGAATTCAAAAAAAATTTACAATTAACGTTTGAAGATTTTTCGCAATACTGAAATAAATTTTAAAATTTTGAAAAGTTCATTTTCTTCTTCTTTTTTTTACGTACATCTTTTATTATTATTTGAATGTGATGTAAAATGACTGCTTTGTAGCGAGAAATTACACCGTTTGAAGTCACAGATCATCGCCATTCTACGAGCCCATTTGCATTAAGAAAAACATGCTACGTGCCCAACAGACTATATTTTTACCAATTACTGGCAACGACGAAAAAGCACGTGAAAAAAGTAGGTATTTTAGTAATTGCATATATATATATATATATAATTTTAAAATTTATGTAAATTTAAAATTTTTTATTGTAATATTTTTTTTAATAAAAAAAACTATTTATTTTCATTACTTATTGTATTAGTGTTTTAAAAAATTATGTAAAATTTAATGCTGTAGTATATTAATCATTCTTTAATAATATAGTCAAGTAATTAATGTAATTATATGTATATTTAAAAAAACTGAATTTATAATGAATTTTAATATATTTTAAATTTAATATAAAAATTGTGATAATTATTTAAATGTAATTTTAAAATATGCATAATTTTAGAGTCCTGATCAATACTCCTAAGACATTGATTAAAAATCGTAAAAAAAAGTGTATTTTAATATATCTTGTAACAAAAAAAAAATCAATTTTAGATCTTTAAACATTTCCCTAAAAACATTGGTCAGTGCGTGACATGATTTAAGTTTAAAGTAATAAAATATGTTAAATAACAGTTAAAACACATTTTATATGAGGTGAATTTAGATATATAAACATGATTCCACAGACAGCCTTGGTACTTGAATGGATGAAATTGAATTCTGCATGCACTGATTAAAACATGATACGACCCCACACCAACCCTCCTTCATCCACATCACATCACTAGCTGGCGGCCAAGTGATGTGAATAATTTAATATTACTATTACTAAGCACCACACTCCCACTCCCACTCCCACTTCGCATTTCCCAATGCAAACCCTCACTTTTTCTCTCTCAATCTTTAACTCCTAACTATATCATTCTTTTTTATTTTTAATTATATATACTTTTATATTATTTTATTTTTAAATTAATCATTAAATTACAAATTTTAATTAAATAAATTGTATCTCTAAAATTATAGATTAATTAAAATTATAATATCTTATTTATATATATTAAAATTAATATAACATATACTTTTTAAAAATATATAAAAAAATTGTTTGATTACATTATTATAATTATTTAATCATATATATATATTAAATTACTTGCAGTATAAAAGTAGAAATAGCTTACAGATTAAATTTCTTCCCTATATTATTAAATATAATTCATATATGTATAATACAATTTTATTAAAACGTATACTGTTAATTAAAAAAATCTCTAATTAGGGTAAATGTTATATTTGAAAATGATCGTTTTTATAATTTAATTATCTGTTTATATATAGATAATTCGTACACCAGTTCATTGTAGCTTAATTTAAAATATTTTAACTCTTTACACTACAGAGTTTAATATTTTGTCTCTTGCTTTATCATTATATGTATTACAGAGTGTTTAAAAATTAGACTTTTATATTATTTAATTTTACTAAATATATGTTATATTTACTAACGTTGTAATTTCTTGTAGAACATACGCAGTTTAAAATACATATTTGCTGTTCATTTTTCATAAAAAAAAAATTAATATAACCTTAGAAGTAAATTATAAAAATAAAACTTCACAATGAATGAATAAAATAATACAACATAATAAAGGTGATTTAATATAATAATTTTTATATACTTTTAGATTCTTTTATTCAAGTGAATATATTAAATTAATTTACAATATCGTACTATTATAATTAATCTTTAATAGGTTTTATAGTTTAAAATCTTTAATGGTTTTTTACTTGATTAAAATGTAAGATTGTTTCAGTTTAATTAATAATTTTAAATTTTGGTCTTAAATATGTAGTTACATTATTATTTTTTTACTATTGTCTATGATAAAAAAATATTTATGGTCTAAATAAGAAAATGTAGTATTATTTTGATTTGATAATTTTTTTTTTTGTCTTTTTTCTTATTTTCTTTCATTAGAACTTAACAGAGGATAGGCATAATATAATTCACTCTTTTCTTTTTCCAATTTGTACTATGTACAGTACATACAAAACATGACAAGTTAATTAAAGAAAAGGAGTATAAGAGGGATGGAAGAAAAGTAATACAAAAAACAAATAAAAAAGATTGAAGAGCAAAGAGAGAATGGGTCTCCGATTATGTAGTTTGTTTGTCTGGAATGATTATTGGTTTCTCTATCATTCCATGAATGTGAAAATGAAACGAAGTTATCACTTTATTTAATGTTCTTTTTAGAAACACAACAAAGATGAAAATCCTTTTTCAACAACACAATCTCATTTTGGCGCTCCCTCCACTACTCACAGTCACAACTATATAAATAAATAAGCGAAGGAAACCACGAGACACAAAAACGTGGACACGACGGTGCTACTACACAGTACATAGTAGTTTTACTCAAAATTAAGAAGGAGAATCAAATCCCTAACAGATAAATAATCCTTTCTACTCTTTTTTAAGGCTATTATATTTTTTCGTCTCTGCGGTGTTCTTCTCTGCAATGTAGGTCGTCGGAGAATGGCAAAGTGTCACCGGAACGACGTTGGATCAATCGTTCTCGACCACCGTTACTCTGCCAAGAATGCAACTACCGGCGTCCACTTCCGTCTCTGGAATTCCCGCTCCGCCTCCTCGTTCCGTCGCATCATCATCGACGCCGTCAGCTGCAGCGGCACCTCTCGCTACCGTTCTCACCGCCGCAGCCACGACGCCGGCGAGTTAAACTCAACGGCGAGCTCGGCCTCGGGGAGCCAGAGAGAGAAACGGCAAGTGCGGGAGAAGTCGGAGAAACTGTCGGATCTATTGAGCACAACGGAGAGCGAAACGGAGGGGGAGGCGAAGAAGAAAGAAGATGCATTGGTGGAGCTGAAGCGTGTGGTGAAGGAGTTGCGTGAAGATGACTCAACGAAGCGGCAAATGGCTGCGGCAAAAGTGAGGTCACTGGCGAAGGAAGATTCGGAAGCGAGAGGAACACTGGCAACGCTAGGAGCAATTCCTCCACTCGTCGGAATGCTCGATTCTGAAGACGTTCATTCTCAGATCGTTTCGCTCTATGCGTTACTCAACCTGGGAATCGGCAGCGATGCGTGCGTTTCACTCTTCAATTCATCTTTATCTGCATTTTCTTTACCTTTTCGTTCAATTCACGCCGTTCTGTTTTCGATTTTGCACCACTTTCTGATTATTTTGTCTATAATTAATCGAGAAATTCGATGTTTATAATGACTATTATTATCATTATTACAGAAACAAAGCAGCAATAGTGAAAATCGGCGCTGTTCACAAGATGCTGAAGCTTATTGAATCGCTGGATGCTACAGATTCGTCGGTATCTGAAGCGATTGTCGCGAATTTCCTTGGATTGAGTGCTTTGGATTCGAACAAACCAATAATTGGATCCTCGGGTGCAATACCGTTCCTAGTTAAAACCCTAAAAAAATTAGATTATAATGATGATAATAAAAACAGCTTCCAAGTGAAGCAAGATGCCCTACGAGCATTGTACAACCTTTCACTATTTCAGACCAACGTTTCACTCGTTTTGGAAACCGATTTGGTTTCATTTCTGGTGAACGCCGTAGGGGAGATGGAGGTGAGTGAGAGAGTTCTCTCGATTCTGAGCAATTTGGTGTCGACTCCGGAAGGTAGAAAATGTATCAGTGGTGTGAGGGATGCCATTCCAATTCTAGTGGATGTGTTGAATTGGACAGACTCGCCAGAATGCCAAGAGAAGGCATCGTACATTTTGATGGTTATGGCACATAAAGCCTATGGTGATAGGCAAGCCATGATTGAGGCAGGGATTGGGTCTTCGTTGCTTGAGTTGACCCTTGTGGGTTCCACATTGGCACAGAAAAGGGCCTCAAGGATATTGGAGTGTTTGAGGGTGGACAAAGGGAAGCAGGTTTCTGCAAGTGCAACGGTTTCTGCACCTATTTGTGGTGGCTCTTCATTGGCTTTTATGATGAAGCCAGGTGGAGGAGGTAAAGGGTATTTGGTGGAGGATGAAGATGTGATGATGAGTGAGGAAAAGAGAGCAGTGAAGCAATTAGTCCAGCAGAGTTTGCAGAACAATATGTTGAAAATTGTGAAGAGGGCCAATTTGCGTCAAGATTTCGTTCCATCCCAGCATTTTGCTTCGCTCACGTCAAGTTCGACCTCAAAGAGCTTGCCATTTTGAGGAATTTGAAGAAGGGGAGTCGAGAATTGATGAACATTGATGTTAGCTTTGACATTGTAATTTCATTGAGTTTTTGATCTTGCAGCTATTTGCTAGCATTCATGTAGCAAGTAGCCAAGCCATCGCTTGTCAAAATCTTAATAGATTATTATACATGTATTTCTAGTGTAGGTCTCTCTTTAGGTTCTTTAATTTGTTTTTTTTGGGTGTCATCTAAGGACATATTCTGTTTTTTAGCGTGAGCTAATAAATTGAAAACGAGACATTTCAAGCTATTAAAGGTGGAAAATCACCATGGTACCAAACAAATTGTGTGGTACATTGTGTATTTTAGCGATAGGGTTGCTTTACACATGCTACTGCTACAATAGCATTCTTCTATTCAAGCAGTCACTTTCTAACCATAAAACACTTTTGTCTTCCAGTTGGCCCGACTATTGTTTTATTTTTCTAATTGTATTTAATGTTGCAAAGTTTGTCGGTCATTTTCGTCTACCATATACATACAGAGACTACTCGTTGCCATTTTCTATTTGGGATTCTTTTCCCTGTTCGTTTGTAAATCCAGTGAGTTCAGTTTTCATGGTGTAGCAGAGTTGAATGAAATTTTTTATGCTTCTACAGTGAGATTGTGGGCTGTTAAATCACTTAATTTTGTCAGATGAAAGATTCATTAATTACCCGGTATTTGTTTAATGCCACATGACCATGCATGTTCCCTGAATTTGTTTCCTTTTAACAGGCCACGGATAAATTGGATCTGTTTGAATGGAAAGATGACCTGCTGCATTTTCTCCGCACTACGTCCGCGTTGCATGATGGTCGTTGTGGGGTCTACAGTCACATGTAAACAATGTTATCTTCTGCTGAGTGCTTTAATTCTGTTGACTTTAGGTAAAAATATTCTAACGTCAATGTAGTTTTAGATATAAAATTTAATTAGGTTACCTTTTTCGTTAGGTTCAATTTTCATTTAATTTCTTTGAAATTTAGCCTGAGCATGAGGTTCCAAAAGCGTGCTTCTATTATTTGAGCTTACAGTGTTTTCCTAGTTTGGATGGAAAGTTGAGAATAAGCATCCCATACAATGGTGTGACCACAAATTTCCACTACTAACTTATGGCTAACAAATTCGTACAAGAAGACGCCATTAACTGCATATCAAAGTTCACTGGGTTTATTTCAAACATATGATTATAATGACCGTTTGAGTTTTCAACCCAGTTTTTCTTTACAACAATAATATAGACATGAGAGGTCAAGTTTCGATGTGCTTCGTACCCCTGCATTATTGCATGTAGTAAACCGGAGATTAACCAAAGCTTCTAGTAAATGTTTCACGGACGCCGCGTTGATGTGTACACTTAAAGATAAACACGGAAAGAAAACAGAAAGAAGTGATAGATGTGATCTTATAAGGGAGATAAAGAATGATGAAAAATATTAAATAAGTGTTAAGACTCTTAAAATGTTTAGAAATCAAATTTATTGTTTAACTTAAGCTTTTCTGTTGAACACCATGCACAATTAATACTTGACATCTCAACATTAGTGCTTGTGTATTGTTGTGTATACGTGGCACTTTGTTGGCCCAATCAGTATACAGGTATTGTACTGTGACACAGAGAATTGTCATAAAATTCTGGTGACTGAAGTTGTTTGAGTTGTGATTACTTATATAAGAGAACCAGTGTGTGTACATGGTTATATCATTCAAGACCAGTAGTAAAACAAGTACCAAGGTTGAGCCGAACCAACTACCATCAATCGAATGCTTTGCCTCGGTGCTATGTTTGCGAATTCATTCTTGTCAATGCCAACCAACGAGGTGGGGAAGCGTACTTATATCTTCATTTAAAGAAGAAATTGGTTACTTGTGTTGTCACCTGTAATCCTAGATATTTTTTTTCAATAGAGAAACCTGTAGTGGGGCCAGATTGCTGTGTGTGTGGTTTCAATTTTTTTGGGTTAATTTTGAATAATTTTCAACTGGCTTTTGTTCAGTTGAGACTATACAACTAAAATACCAGTGTCCACAATTTTATTACGAACCTTCCTCATTTGCTAGGGAAAACGTTGTTCCTTGGTCTCTAGTAACCGTACAATTAATTCCACCATAAGAAAAAAAATTAGTACACACATTCACAACCACCTCGTGATGTATTACTGTACCATAATAAAGTTCTATACAGTGGGAGTTCTTTTTTTCCCCTTGTTTGAGTGCAAATTTACGGTGAAAGCTAAAAACAAAAATAATTGGCAAAGAAAAAATGTTTGGTAGACACTAACTATCGTGTTTACACCTAAAGTGAGGAAAAAAAAAGTTATCTATATAATAAATGCTCTGGTGTAATAGGAATAGAGATAAAAAAATATATTAAATAAGTGTTAATATTATTTAAATGTCTAAATATCAAAATAAAAATACTATATCTTCCTATCATTTCAATCTACCTATTTATATTTAAAAAAAAGTAAAGCGTGTCTTTTAAAAAATATTTATGAATTTTATTTATTAACTTTTTCTCTCTCGTATCGATTTTACGTTAATAAGAAAATTTACGGACTAAGAAATTGATTAAAAAAATATAGCAGTTTTCTATCAGGAATCATTGCTTGATGTCAAGGTATTAAATCAAACGGTCCCTGTACGGCAATGACTCGTTCATGCATGGATCCGAAACATCTACAGATCCCTTTGAAACTGCATCCAATTTCAACCACGAAAGTTCCTATTTCATATTTTATATATATATATATATAATTGCACCTAATGTAGTCATGTGGGTTTCTTTTCTAAAAGCAATTTTTTTATCACAATTCAGGTCATTCAACGTTCGTGTGTGTAGCAATGTCAGTTTGGCATATAAATATACATTCATGCATGGTTAATTTCGAAAATTTCATTATGCAAATGCCTTCAACTTAGCAGGATAGACTCATAAAACTGCTCATGATTTCAACGCAAGGATATACAACAACTGTGATCAAGAGTCACCAGACTAGCTAACGAAACGAACACGGAGAGAAAATAATAATATTTTTTTATAAGTTAAATATAATTTATTTCTAATTTATAAAAAATATATTTATTTTTTATATTATTTTCTTTCTTTTATAAGAATTTATCTGAATTATTCGATTTTTACCAAATTCTTTGACAAGTAGATATTGCATGGCACAAGAAGAAAATGACGTGTGCTTTCACCATTATTCATACCTCAGTCCCTACTACTGTTAATCACCAATTCACCGTTATGAACTCATTTCATCAAGCATGCATCAAAATATTCTCTAAATGGAGAAGCAGCAGTATCCCTAAACTAAGAACACTTCAATATGAAAAGGACCGCTCGTTCACTATGAAATGTCGATGCACTGCGTGTAGCACTACCGATGAACTTGGGGAACAGTCCAATAGGCTTTTTTGCCAAAATGGGGTAAACTGAAAAATAATTTCTCAAAAATAGGTTTAAATAAAAAATATTACCTGTGTACTTTTATTTGTTTTTTTCGCGTCTCTGGGAAGATACTTAATTTTTATTATTAAAAAATTAAATATCCTGGTAATTAAAAAAATACTTATTTTTTTAATTATTAATAAGCAGAAGTACCCTGTACGTCGCAGGGTATGAAACTTCTCTCTCCTCGAGCTAAAATAATGTTGAAGAACCAAAATAATAACGCGTTTCTTAGCCCAAAACCTGTTCGAATGAAGGATGCTGCAAAACCCAGAAAGTTTTACCGTGGGGTGAGACAAAGGCATTGGGGAAAGTGGGTGGCTGAGATAAGAGTCCCAAAGGGGTGAACATGCAAGGCTTATTTTTCCTCATCTACGTCACCACGGAGCTCTTCCCTCATTGGTGGATGCAAAGGTTCAAGCTAAAGGGGTTATGAGCCAAGACCTCGATGCTTTCATCGTGCATGGCCCATCTGGGAATTATTTTATTGTGGAACTCGTGCTTAAGCTCCAAGGACTAAGGAGGCAAGGTAGTGGATCTCACGTGCTCCATCTGATTAAAGCTGTGGGAGAGAAGTTTACGCAAAGTGTACTTATTTAAGCCTATTTTGGAAAATCATTTTTCAATTTACCTCATTTTTGCAAAAAATTAATGAAAATTAAGAAAATGCATTAACTGATTGTGATTCGGACAACGGAAAGCAAATGCAATAGAAGCATGAATCGACAATACATTCCTGGAGTACACTGCCGTGGATGGAAACAGATTTTTTGCGATTCTAGGCAAATCTAAATTAGTCAAGCGAATATGCAGCCCTTTCTCTCTTTTTCTCCCCTCTCGCTCGCTCTCCCAGCCCCCTTCCCCTTCCCTCTCACTTTCCCTTGCCCCCCTCCCCCTCTCAGGCAAAATTAGTACACTAAAAAAAATGAACATTCGTAAGTTTTACTTATTAATTAAATGATAGAAGAACAAAAATCCAATTAAATCTAAAACAATGTCATTATCAAGAACTCATAATTAGCGTCAAATTTCAATTCTTATTTCTAAACTACGGTTATAACTTTTCAAATCTTTACTAATATCGTTTTAAAGTTGTAGTTAAATATTTAAAAATAATAATTTTTATCATAAAATATAATTTATAACATTAAAATTATAATTATTTCTTAATAAAACTCTACTACTATTAATTACTTAAACACAACTCTAAGACTTACTTATTATTTTTCTGTAGTAATTATCATTTATAAACCTTACAATCTGGTTGGTTAATAAGGCGTCTTTTTTCTTGCCATCTCTTTTTGAAAGTATAATAATGAGATCGTTCTATTTAAACGCCCACAAATAGAACTCAATAGCTCAGTCGTTAAAAAAGTTATTTAAGAGAAGAAAAAATATAATTATGTATATATACACACACACACACAAGAAATCATACATTGAACGGATTGTATACTCTCACTTGGATTTTATTTATACAATGAGGATGCTTACGTCGTCTTCAGAAAGAGAGAATTTTATAATTTTGATGTAAATCACATGACTTATATTTTGAAGAACATATAAATCTCAACAAATTTGGTTCATATGCCCAGATGAAAAACAAAGTAGTTCAAACAAAATTGGTTTTAAAATAAAGGTTCATTTTTATCAGTATAGTTGAACTTCTAATTCACTTGAAAAATAAAGTTCCATTGCTGTCAATTCGTTCTTCTTAACCCTAGTAGAGGAATTATCAATTAGCATATTGCATGACAACAGATATAGCACGTATTTTCAGCGGGTAAGAAGCCTGCACTTACTACATAACAAAGTGTACCTATGACAAAATATTACTATCGTTATCTCATACTAAGAGTGCTCCCGTATATGTTGCTTCAATAGAAAGTCTGCATCTATTATCAGAACTAGTGCCAGCGACCCATTCAAAGGCGTTATCCATGGTTTGCCCGTTTGGACAAAGTACACTATTGATGCTAATAAACTCATTTGCTTTCAGTAACCGGAAGGTAGACACCTTCAGCTGCCAACCAGACATTGTCAGCACGCTTTTCACGAACACCACAAACCTAGAAAAATACAATAGATGAAAAAATGTTAAATGTTTCAGCATTTTAGTTAATTATCAAATCAAAGAGGAATACTATAAAAATTGACCATATTTGTTGTACTTTTTATACCAAACTAACTTTGACAAAATAATAGCCAAGTGCCTAAGTCGTCTATAGAATAGTTTTGTCATAGGGCTGACAAAAGAATACTTTCTCATTTTGTTGATGCACTCTAAACCTAGGCAACTAACATTGAAAGAATATTTGAGATTTGATAGCAAAAGCCAAAGCATGTAGGGCTGACAAAATGAAAGAAGTAAGCATCCAAAATATTATTCACACATTTGTAACCCAATAAAATGTTATCAAAAGGAGAATAATAGATTTTCATATTCCAGGCAATTTCTCACCTCCTGTTGTCCCCCAGCAATCCGAGCGTATTTCTTATCATGACTGTGTAGATAGCCTCCAGTGTCAATATGCTGAAGGCGAATCCTCTGATCCTGCTTCCAAGTCTTCCCACTTCCTTCTATTAAAAGCCTAAAGAATATGAAAGTAGTATAAAGCACCTTCCAGAATATTGAGATCTATATGCATCTGAAAAAAAAGGTCTCACCTCCAATAGTCCCCAGTGTCAGATTCAGACTCTCCTCCAAAGCAACTCACCTAATTTCAATTCAAAATTATAAAGTCAGATATCTGATTGCCTGACACTGTAACATAAAAGAAATATCTATAGTTGCAAAAAATGCCCTTTCTATTTATGTTTGATGGTTCAAGAACTTTTGTGGTGTCAATTTTTCTTGCATCAGTCTATTCAAGGGAAGACAGAAATATACAAATAACTTGAGTATTGGTTGATTGCACAAGTGATGGTTTATTTTATAGTACAATAACCAAGTCTTTGTTATGCTACTAAATAGTGTCAGCTACATAGGTGGAAAAATCATTGAACCTCATTGAGACGAAATAGTATTGGTTTTTAGTTCAAAAGTGAAGAATTACATCAAGATGTTACAGTAAGTCATTTCCATTTGGGTTTCACCGCTCAATCCACCGGACATATTTGGAGAAATATTATACTAGTTGAGACCAAAAAAATGTAGAAATATGGAAAAAATCTTTAAAACATATGGTATTCAGGTTATATGATACATTATTGGAATAGTGCTTACATACGAGGCCATAAAGTTAGCAAGAGTATGAGAGGAGATGATGGATTGATTAAGGGGTAAAAGATACATAAAACTGGGTATTTTCATTGTCTAGGGTAATGAGTATATGCAATTTAACACATGTAAAATCAAAGTGAATGTCTTTCATAATAAATGGGTCTAAGACATGTTGCTTAAGAGTGGACATATTCAACAAATTATTTAACCAAATTCTAGGTCTGTTATGCACGCATGGGAAATGAAGTTAGACAGTTTATTAAAGTTAAGTGTCTAAGAATGAATGTATAGCAGATGAGAATATTCAAATAACAAAGATGAGCATTATAACGATATACATTGCACACATGATAATAGTGATGTCAAGACTAATAAGCAAATAATTTTGCAAAAAAAAAAATATTTGAGTCAGAAATTAGTTAAGAGATTATCATTTATAGATTCGATTTTCATTTATAGATAGTAATTAGTAAGGCAATGGAGCAGTTGACTATGTACATTAACAATAAATATGTAATAACAAAAAAAGAAAAAAACTTAAGCAGATTCATAGGTATGATTGTATCATTCACTATATATTTTAATATCACATACTCTCCTACAGAGAAACAGATTAATATGTATGATTATATCATTCACCAATTAGTCCTTAAAAGTTATAAGCATAACCACACTAGTCCTTCAAAAATTTCGATCAGCAAATTATTCCCTTAATTTTTTGTCCCTACAAAAATGAACTACCAAATCTTTGAGGAACTAAACTAGTGACAAAAGAATAAGTTGAGGACCTTTGGAATTTGGTCTTTTAAGTCTAACTCAACTATAAAAGCTAGATCGGAAGATGAAAATTGTTTTTTTTATGACTGTTTATTATAAATTCTTTTATAAATTCTTATTCAAGATCTGAGATCTAGAGTGTGAAATTGTATGACTGTTTTTTTTTTTTAATATAGTCCTGGGGAAGCCACTGGACTAGGTAAGCTGCACTGCCAAAATTGTATGTTCAATTTGGGTTTTAAACTTATCTCAACCCCAAAAGCTAACTCTTGAGGTGAGGATTACTTTAGCGTTTATAAGCTTTTATTTAGTTATATCTATAGTTGATGTGGGACTTAATCAGGGCCGAAATTAGTAATGACTAACCAAAACTGTTAAAAAAACTAAAGTGGTAATGCTAGCAGTGCCCTTTTGCCTAGACGAGAGACTTAATCCCTGAAACTTGAGGCAAAGACAAAACGATATTTGGAAAATAAATCCAATCAAAGATCTAGGCAAGAGACACCAAAACACAGACACAACTGCAAAAGAAGATATCCCCTGTAATCTTGTATCAATTAGTTACCCAATGCAGAGTCCTTAAAACCAAATCGTACATAGAAAGATCTCCACACATTACAACTTTATCTAATTTAAGAAACCTAGAAGCATTACAGAAATCAGCCATAGGTCCTAAACATACGTGGGTAACAAACAAACTAAAAAAACACACTCACCTCGAGATTGCCAGATATCGGGGATGCATGCAAGTGGCTGTGCAGCCACTTCCTTGTCCTCATGTGCTGCAATCTAATGATTGTGCCACTTTTAATGGCATCACCTTGTTTAGCTGAGGTTCCAGGTTGAGGTCTAACAATCTGCAATAAAATGCACAAGTCAACACAACTTTTAAAAACATCAACATAAGTAATCCTGAAAACTATGCTCTCCTATCGTTGCAAAAACATCATCTTAGGTTTTTTATTTCTAAAAAACATTTCACATAAGAAAACCAAAACATGCATATGAATGAGGAATTTACCCAATAACTATTGGAATCGTCGACACTGGGGAAACCCGTAACTGATTGTTGTCCACTGCCAGAACCATACGGCACATCGTGAGAGTGCAACCGAAATTTCGTCTTTTCGTGCATAAGCTTCAGAACCGTGCCGTAAGTAATCTGCACCTACGCGAGAGAAAGATAGGACAGCAAATTAATTATTAAATTAAATCGGAAAATAAATTTAAGATCCCTAACCTAAACAGGGAAATTGAAAAGGAAGTGAAACCTCAACGCCTTCGGCGGAAGCCGCGGAGGCAGAAGCGGTGGAAGAAGGAGCGATGTCAGAATCGAGAGTGAGGAAAAGAAAGAGAGCGAGAGCGAAGAATCCGAGAGCCATGACAAAGAGCAATGCGATGAACCAATTCTGCTGCCAGATCGGGAATTCGGATTCCGATGGAGTCCTTGCTTCTCTGTAAACGATCCGGGTCGACCCGGATGGTTGTGAATGAGAAGATGAAGAAGGTTTTCTTCGAGACAGGCTCTGAGAAGCCACGGTTCGACCCGGGTTATTATCCAGATCGGAAGATTCAGAGAGATGGCATTCAGGTGTTATTGGATGATGCTTCTTCCTTTGCTTCGTAATTACACGCCCTTTCTGCACCCACTCCAACGATACCCTTCTTCTCTTTTACTTTCTTTCTTCCACGCTGGAATGTTCAATGTATGTTACGTGACATGCTTTTATCCAATCCAGAGAGGAAACGTGCTATTTTCATGACGTGGATGCTTGTTAGTGGTTAAGATTACTTGCAAAATATTCAGACAATCAATGAGCCCATTTCGTTTGGGCCGTTTTACACTTAAAGCCTGACTTCGGTTGCCCTCATTTTCTATCCTCTCGCTCTCGCTAACTCTTTTCCGAAGTCTTGCAGTTGACTTGACTTGGCAGGTATTATTATCTTATTTATTCCTAAGTTATTTTTAAGCTTGCTGTGATCATTTTTTACATATTTTATTAATTTTTTATTTTTTATTTATTTCAATAAATTTTATTCTAAAATTTAAAAATAAATAATCATTTTAAAATAGCTTATTACATAATTATTCAATGAACAGTTATCAAAATATATTATTTATAACATTTTTTAAAAATAAATACCAAATTTATTACTTAAATTTATAAATGACGACTACTTTAGTTTTACTTTAGTCATTGGTATTTTAAAATCACCTGTTTTTATATTTTTTATATTTAACTAAAATAAGCATTATTATGACTTTCTAAATATTATGTAAAACACAATGATGGAATCAATTCTATCACGTACACATATATAAAATTGTTGATAATAGTAATAATTATTATAATGACAGTGTGAGAAAAACGATGTAATACATGCGGTTGTGGAATTAATAGTGTGATAAAAATCATAATAGTGATTATAAAGTTATAAATAATAACAATAGTGTTAGAAGTAATAATTGTAGTAGTGATAAAAAGAATATTACTAATTATTTTACTAAAATTAATTAAAAATATTCAAATAATATATATTAATTTACAAATAAAAATATTTTTATTAGTTATAATTTTGAATAAATTTTAACTAATTATATATCATAAATAATGTGTTCAATTAATATTATTTGTTATGATAATGATGGATAATAATTATTCATATATTATGATAAAAGTGATAAAATAATTTATTGTAATTAAATATTTAAAATTAATATAATTATATATAAAAAATTTATAAATGTAGATTGAGAGTATTCATTTATTTTTTTATTTTTTTTATTCTTTAGGCTTTATTTAAAAGTTTAGAGAGAGAAATAAAAGATTTAAATAGAGAAAAGGAAAAGAGGGAAGGAGAAGGAAGTTAAACTCCTTCTATTTATATGTTTAATATTAAAAAATAAGGATGATAGGAAGTTTAAGTATATAAATTATATTATTATATATTTTTTTATTTATATTTTATTATTTTTACAATAAATAAAAAATAAATAGTTATATTTTTAAAATATAATATTTTAAAAAATACTTTTAAATTTAATATTTTTTATTTTTTGAAAAAATTCTCCCTTGAAAAATAACATTTTAAAAAAATAAAAATTCTAATTATGAAAAAGTAGGAAATAGTGAAAGAGAAAAAAAAATATTAAAAAATTACATATTAGAGAAACTAAAAAAAAAAACCTAGCGTTGAGATAATTTTACAGAGTTTATAAATTTTTCAAACATTTTCTCTCATAATTAAGTAACTCTCAATCAAATATTAAGCTCTTTTAACTCTCTTATCTCTTTTTAAACACAATGTCTTAAACTTTTTTACTTTTCTTTACACTTTCACTTCTCTTTTTTGTTTTGTTTTTTCATAATTATATTTCTCTCTCTATTTTTTAAGTAAATGTTGTTTATTTTAATTTTTTTAATTTAATCAATTTTTTTTACACATTTAACTTAAAAAAGATATACTGCATTTTGCATTAAAAAATTAAATAATTTGAACAATTTATTCTTTAAATGAAGTAGAAACTTTAATTTTATATTTATTAAAAAAATATTTGTCTTATTTTTTACTATCCAATAAATATATGACACTTATCAATCAACGGAGAGGAGAGGATAAATTTTTACTATATATATGAAATGAGCAAATGAAAATAAACTAATAAAAATGTTTCTTTATTTTTGTATTTATTTTTTATGAAAATTAATATGAAGTAAGAAGTAAATCTTATTTTTCTCTCTATTCATTTTTTAATATTTTGTTCGAAAGTTCACAGGAAAAACAAAATACTTGAAGGGAGAAAGAAGAGAGGAAATGAAATGAAATGGGTAAAGAGGAGAGGAGAAAAAATGTTATTAAGGATATAATTTAATTATATAAATAATATTATTATATATTTTTTATTTTTCAAAAGAAAATTTGTTCTTTCTCTATAAATTAATATTTTTTATAATTTTTAAAAAATAACTTAAAAAACTAACATAAAAAAAGGGTTAGAATCTTAATTGTAAAATAGTGCAACAAAGCAAAAAGAAAAAAAAAATCAGAAAACTTTGAGATTGAGATAACTTAAAAACTAGTGTTAGTAAGTTTTTTTGAGAGTTTAGAAAAATTCTTACACTATTCATTTCCTAATTAAGTAATTTTTAATTAAGAATTAAGCCTTCTTAACCCCTCTAATTTTTTTCTAAATACAACTTTTAAAGTTTGAAAAAATTTAAATATCTCATAAATAAAGAGAGAAATATAAATTTATTGAATAAACTGCACTCCTTCTTCATTCTTCGTATGTGTGAGGAGTCCATTGATGAGAAGGAGTTATATATACTTTGAACTTAATTCCTATATTGATGAATATAAGCGTAACTAAAATTATTAAAAAATTATATATTTGTGTATTTATAAGATAATTTATTACTTCTTAAAGTTTAATCTCTCTCTTGATGAATCATATAGCCTAAAAAGATACAATCAAACATATTTATAAGAAAAGAAAATCCTCATTTGCTTTTGATCTTACTTAAGGTTAATTTTATATTTGTGGGTGCCATGCCTCTTTTTCATTTTGTTTTCAATCAAATCAAACTATATTTTTTAATTAAAAGTATGATAGTATATTTTTTAATAACTAATTATATTTACAAAGTGACTTCATATATTTTTCCAAAATTCTGTCCGGATAAGAAGGCAAAATAAGTTAATTTTATTCATAAATTAATATCAACCTATGCATTTTATATTTTTTGATTTTTTTATCTTATTTTTTTAAAAAAATTGTGTACTTAATTTTTTATTTATTTATAAATGTTGTTTTATTTTAATTTTATATATTATCAATGAGTATTTTAAATAAAATTAATTAAATTTTTAATTAAGATCCTAAAATATAGATTAATAATATTTATTAAAAGCCTTTTAAATTTATAAGTAAATAAAATAATAAAATTATTGATATGAATTGAATTTAAATATGAAAAATAAAACATTATTTTATAAAATAAAGTGTTGAGGATATTTTGATATAAATAATATTTATTTTTAACTAAATTTTACAAATTTCAAATATTTAAAATAAATTAAAAGATGAATACTTTTCATAAAATAACATCTATTATAAATGGAGTAATGTAACAAAAAAGGTAAGATACAGGATCCACGGTCATGACAAAGCCACGCAGGGTCAGAGAGGGATGCTCCATGAAGTGGACTCCAGTTCCAAATTCAACTCAAATTCACCAACCCGCGAAATCCGAACCCGCGTGGCTCCTTTCAAGCGGGTAAATTAAAATTCAACAATGCAGACAGGGTTCAAATTTTATTATTACTTTATTTATTTAATTGTAATATTTGAATTGCACTTGTATAAACAAACGCAAAACACTGTTTTAATATACATCTATTTTTAATTTTCAGATATACACATTTTTTGGATTTATATATGTATGTGTATATAAATATAAATATATATATATATATATATTTTTTTTTTTTCTATACCAGTAATTTAGGATAGGATTTATCAGGAATATTCGTCTCGAAAAATTTCCGAAAAACGCACTTTACTTTATTTATCTATTGGTCCTTGCGTTTTTCTGCCAAGAAAAGGAAAAAATAAAAAAGAAAAGAAAAAGAAAAAGAAAGAAATAAAGAAAAACCCCAATCTTCTGATTCCATCGGAAACCACCGTGTAGCCTCAAATCGGGTTCGATTGGAGCGTTTTTAGGGCTTCGATGGAGTGAAGTCGACGAGAGTGGCGTGAGTCTGTGGAAGATCAGGAGAAAAAGACGCAGGTACCGCACCACCAATGGCAACTGTCGATAGAGAATTGGAAGAAGAGCTTCTTGATGCCGGTAACAAGCTCGTAGATCCTCCGTCGTCGGTGGAGGAGCTTCTCTCACTGCTAGACGTAATAGCTCTTTTCCCTCTTTTTTTGACCTTCGAATGATTATTTTAACCACTTGCTGTGATTTTCGAGTTTTTTTTTTTTAATAATTTGATACGTGTTGGAGTTATTTGCGTTTTGGTGCGTGTCATTGTTCTTTTTTGTTCTTCTGATCAGTGGAGTAGCCCAGAAATCGCAAACTTCTAGCTGAAAATGTCTGACCGTGACGTTTTTGTGAGATTTTGATTGAAAAACAATAATTACTTGGAATGTTTAATGTCAATTTGTTTCCTCTATTACCTCAATTGGTCTGTCTAATGGCTATGATGAGATGAGCGTTGTAGCATATTTGTTAAGTTAAAATGACATCCTTTGATAATATACTCTTATTATATATATGCCACTTACTTCACTGCATGTGTAATATTGAATCGGGTTCTACTTGGTAATAGTATTAATATACTGGAATGGATTGTAATCAATATCAATCTTCTTGATTGTTGCTTAAGGTTGTCTGGAACCAACGGTTAAGAGGATAAAATTGAACTGGGTTCTAATATAGGCTTTGTTCAATTATCAATTGTTAGAGTTATTGATTACTGATCAGAGTTCTGAAGAAATGACATTCAAATAGATAATGTCCGTTATTGTATTCAGGTTTGAGTTAGCTAGGGGATAGAAGTATGTAAGTGGAGGAAGAGGTGAATGCATTATGTAATCTATTTGGAAAAGGCATGTTGATATGGTCAGTGACTGTAGAAGAACACCATGCACTTCCTTGTCTTTGAAATTGGAACAGTTGCATCTTAATTGTATCATTGGTGTCAATGTGATTTGTATTCAAATTATGAGTTTAAGAATTATACCCTGATAAAGGATATGCAAGTCTCAAATCATTCTCCTAACTTATTGGTTGAGAAAAGTATTGTACACATATATTATGACCTTACATATTCTTTTGCCTCTGCACTGTAGCAAGTTGAGAATTGCCTATCAAGGGTTGAACAATCACCTACCAACTCTATGCAAAATGCACTCTCTCCATCATTGAAAGCATTGATTGCAGATAAACTTTTAAAGCATTCAGATGGTAATGTCAAAGTTGCAGTTGCTTCTTGCATCAGTGAAATAACAAGAATCACTGCGCCTGATGCTCCTTATGAGGATGATCAAATGAAGGTGTGCACAAATTTTTCCTCCTACAGTATGGATGGACTTAACTGTTATCATGCTCTTTACAAAGGAGATTGGCACATCAGTTGAATTTTACCAATGACATTTTTCTTGCAGGAAGTCTTTCAATTAATAGTGTCTTCATTTGAAAATCTACATGATAAGTTAAGCCGATCTTATAGAAAGATAACATCAATTCTTGAAACTACCGCAAAAGTAAGATCTTGTGTCGTAATGCTGGACCTTGAATGTGATGCCCTGATTTTGGAGATGTTTCAGCATTTCTTGAAGGCAACAAGGTAAGACCATAGTAGCTGTTGTGTACAAGTCCATGGTCTTCATGTCATTGGATACTTTGTTGTTTATTATTCTACTTTAGACTTGATTTGATTTTTTTGATCTCTTACCACAGAATTTACAAGAATTACCTTTAATCTGTTTTATTCATGCTTAATATGTCACATAACGTGTGATTGCTTTTTTTCTATTTTTGTTACACAGATGTATCCATAAGCAGATACCGATATATGCATATAGTATGGCTTTCTCTGTATCAGGACTTGAATGCTTTTATATTGGAACCTCTTGTGGATGTTTTTCCTTTGGCCAATGAATGGACCATAATCATAATTTTCTGTAAAGTTGGCTACAATTATGCTTTTTCAAGAACTTGTGCAAGAGATTAAAGACCAACAAACAGCAATAATACAACAATGATGACAAATGAAACACAAAAATCATCTATATTAGGAACAATTAAAGAAACCAAGTTAAAACAAATTTATATAACATGAACAATATATAAATGTAATTATATACTGAATATATATTGCTGTACTTGTATCCTGATTTTTTAAAATATTTTATTAATGACCTCAATTGGTTGTTGTTGTTTATGTGTACCTATGCATCATAGTTGTTACATCTATACAAATGGATTTTTCTTTAGACATTTGGGAATACTTAATGTGAGGATGTGGTTCTAACCAGCTACATTTGAAACTTGCAGAGAGCATCATCCCGAAAATGTTTTTTCATCCATGGAAACAATTATGGCCCTTGTTCTAGAGGAAAGTGAAGATATATCTTTAGATCTGCTTTCTCCACTCCTGGCCAGCATTAAGAAAGACAATGAGGTTGGAGTTTGACTGGTTTAATTTCATTCATTTCAGTAGATTGTGAGTTTAAACTTGAACCTTGATTTTGTTGTTCAAATTTTTATCTTTGTCTTGATGATGGTAATCGTTGCAATCTAGGAAGTTTCTTTGATTGCCCGAAAATTGGTAGAGAGGGTACTTGAAAGTTGTGCAACCAAGCTTAAACCCTACTTGATTCAAGCAGTGAAAATCTTGAGTATATCTTTGGATGATTATAGTGTGGTACTTGCTTCAATATGCCAAGATACATCTGATGGCTTGGAGAAAAATGATGCATGGTTTACTAGTGAGCATGTGGTAAGTTTTCCTTTGGTCTTTTGCCAATTTATATTTGATGTATTTCCTGATGAGAAAATTTGTGAAACTTTCTTTTGGTCGGTTTCATTCTTTCAGGAAGATAAGAATATGTCAAAAAAACAATCACTGGAGGAGTCAGCACAGGTATGCTTCCACCTTTATGCTTTTGTTTTTTATTTGTTCTTGTGGTTCCGAAATTTTGTCATCCAGAATTAAACACTGGAATGTGTTGATTCTGGTTTAACCAGGTGGTTGAAAAAGATTCAAGGGAAGCTACATCTTCTGAACAAGATAATCCTGATGCAAACAGATCCCCCAAGTCAGTTATGAGCAATGGTGTTGCATGTGTTGGAGAAGATTATGATTTAGGTGATTCCAAGTCCACTAAAAAGCAAGAGGATGTTGATTGTTCTAATCATTCTGAAGGTTTGAATACATCTTGTCATGGGGTGCCCAATGATATGGACACTGAAAAAGTTGACAATCGTCAACAAAAGCCAGAACAAGACACGAAGAGGCGAGGAAGGAAATCAAGCTCTTCAACTAAATCAGCAAAACCTTCTAGGGCTCATGTTGCTACTAATGAAAATGAAGCTGATAAAATGATGGACTCTGAAAGCCACAGCAAGGAAGTTCCCAGTTCTGCTCATGTGGACTATTCTGTTGAAGCACCTGGACCTTCAGAGAATGACAAAGAGATTGATGCTAAAATTTCATCACAAAAAGCATGTGACAATGAATCTGAAGTTGCTTCTCCTTCACCCGTGGAGAGCCTCCATGATGAAAATCATGCAAAGAAACATGGACGAGCAAAAATTAAAGACGGCCCTTCAAAAGAAGTGGCTGCAGAGAATGTTTCAAAAAAGGTGTCTGAAGGAGCTAGTGATTCAGAAGCCAAACCTGCCAGAAAGTCAGTGAAAAGGGCACTTGGTCTGAACTCTGATGTGAAAAAAACTACTGCAGCAGATTCAGTAAAGAAAGGAAGTGGAGCTGCAATTGGTGCCAATGCTAAGAAGCACTCAGGCAATAAATTAGATGAAAACAAAAAGGGTGGTGGCGGCGGATCCTCTTCAAGGCAGATAGAAAACAAGAAAAAAGGGGGGCGAGGGAAGGCAAACTCTGAAACAGATGTAGCAAAATCTTCTGCCATAGATGTGGACAAGGTACAATTTCAAATTTTATATTGCGCCTGCTTCTTTGCTATTATTTATTAATATTATTGCAACATGATTTCATTTTGATTTTTTCTTTTTATTAAAGTAAATTATTAAAGGAATGATTGTTAATTATTTAGGAAATGGTGTCTTCTCCAAGGTCTGGTACAAAGTTGACTAAAGATGAAAATTCAGAGACTCCCAAGACAAATGTGAAAAGGAAACGCACTTTAGGAAAAGAAAATGTAAGTATCATGTTGCTCTGAATTTTTAATATTAAAATATTGAAATTCAAGATGTTTTTGTTAATGAAATTTTCCTTTTGGTAAATCCTTTCTGTAGATATGGCTTGCTAATTACAATAGTTTTGTTTTCTTGTCAATTTAATTGCTAATGACCTTGTTGCTGCATCAGGAGTCTGATATGAAAGAGTATGGGGAAAACCTTGTTGGTTTACGGATCAAAGTTTGGTGGCCTAAGGATCGTGAGTAAGTATATAGCATTTCATCAATTTTTGCATACTGTCTCTTGAAATTTTGGTTGACAAGGGGCCATGAAGTGCTATGCGCTGTTTGGTGTTTACTTCTGAATTGTAATCTCTGGTTTTTTGTGTATAAATGTTTCATGAGCTGCCTGGTATATATTGATCACATTTTTGGACCTTTAAATCTGGAATAAGGCTGTGTGCCAATAATGTTGATTGATTTCATCATATTTGCAATATGTATAATATATGCAAAATGTGCCTTTATGTAAATCTTTTTGATTAAATTATTGTGGTCTAGGTGGTTTGAGTTCTATATTTCCTTTCCAAGCCTTTTTTCCCCTTTATTTCCTTCAACAGTTTGTATGTTACACTGTACCTTCTGTAAAATTTGAGAAAACTATGATGTGAAATAGCTGGAGAGAATATACATTTGAATTAAAACTAGGGAATATCCTCTTTTGTGGGCTTTTGAATTCATTCATGCTCATTTTATTTATGACCAGTTTTCCCTTTCATTTTGATGGAATAGAATTATTTGTAATGTGTTGTGATTGACGCATACGTAATCTGGTACAGGTTTTACAAAGGTGTCGTTGATTCTTTTGATTCTGCCAAAAAGAAGCACAAGGTGATTTGGCGATTTATTAAGCCATCTCTCTGCCACCCCCCGTCCTGTCATCCACAATAATTTTTGTATTTTTTGTTTTGCTGTGTTGCTTTGCTCATTTAAATAGTAATTGTTGCATCTTTGACTATTTATTGCCAAGTCAAGATGGCTAATATCTTAGGCATACATTTGGGTTGGGGAATGGGATACATTTAAAGATATTGTTTTAAATTGCCAAAAAAATATAACATGCTAGTACTACTATTATGGCCTATTTGTTCATTTATTTTTCTTTTCTTTTTTAAGAAAATTCTTTTTTTAAATTGAAAAAATCTAGAAAATTTAAAACAGTTGGAAAAAATTTTGCTGGAAAATAAAGTCAAACCCAAACAAAGGAAAAAAAGAAACAGTGCTTTTCTCAAAAGCTAGAAAGAATAGTGTATGAAAAAAAATTATTTCATAGAAGCATTTTTTTACGCTATCCAATGCACTCTATATTTGTTATATGTTGACACCTGTTCACTCTTTTAGGTCTTCTATGATGATGGTGATAAAGAAGTATTAAATCTTGTGAAGGAAAAATGGAAGTTCATTAAAGCTGACTTGGATGCAGATGAGGTTGGTCTATGATTGCCTTGTATTTTTCTTACACTGAATTATCTGTGTCTATGTTAATGGCAATTATTTCCATTGACAGGAAGAAGGAAGTAACCGTGCAAGTCTTGATCCTTCCACTGATATGTACGTACTACATGTTGCTAATGTCATTTATTATAGATACATCTTTTGGCTTTATTATACTATATTTTTCATGCATGTTTCTATGGCATATGTGCGTGTGTTTTGATGTTGCCTACTTGCAGAACATGTACCTCATGTTATTAATTGGCGTGTTTGGTGCTGTTTTTTTTGTGCTTGCAATTGGAAAACCTCAACCTACACTACTTGCCATTATGTCTGTCAATGTCTTTTATTATCAAAGCTGTTGTAAATCCAGAATATGTAAAGGTGGTCCTGTGTTTTCTGGTAAATTTGGTGATCAATTGTGGTGTTATAAAAAAAATACTTAAAAAATAAAAATAAAATAAAATTATATCCTTAATAAAGAGGAAACATGTTTGACGGTGTGATCTCAGATTTAGCTCCTCTAAAGTGAGGAGAAATGTAAAGGGATAAAGTGAATGTCTATCCATTATTGATTTGAATTCAAGTATTTTGTAAATAGAACTAACTTCAAATCAATGGTGGACAGACCATCGAGTGTTTTGCTGGACATGGCCATTTTCATAACTTGTGAAACAACTGGGCCATGAGCAGCACTGGAAAATGAGATTTTTTTTATCAATTAAGAAAAATGTTAGTATAATGTTACATCTTTTCCCTCTGCTAGAAAGGATTCAAATAAACATATCTTATTTGTTGCTGTATTTCATGATTGTCTTTGGTTGTGTCACATGGTGTGACTTCCAGCTGTTTATTTGGTCTTATTTTCGTTGCATTGTTCTATGCTCCTATTAAGGCCGCCTAAGAAGAAGGGAAAAACAAGTGCTGGAGAATCAACCAAGCAAGGAAAGATGGATGCTTCTTCCAGAAGGTTTGTGAATATCAGTAAGTCTATCTTTCTTATCCTTTGTTTGATATCTAATTTTTTTCACTTCAATTTTTAGTGGTGGAGCAGTAGCATCCAGTAGGTCAAAGGGTGTCTCCATGAAGTCTACCCACAAGTCCAAAGATGGCAACAAATCCAAAGATTCTAAGACTACTAGCAAATCTGAGGATGAAGCTACTCGAAGATCTAAGGACGGAACTCCTAAAAGTGGTAACAGTAAATCTACTGTTGCTGCTAAAAAAGTGAGGGGCAAGTCCAATACTTCCAAGGCGAGCAAATCAAAGGATGAGATTAGTACTCCAAAACACTCTGCCAAGTCTAAGCAAGTGACTCCAAAAAATGGAAAATCCAAGCAAGAAACCCCAAAGACTGCTACTTCCAAGGGAAAACCTCCCAAAAGTGGTGGAAAGTCTGATATTAACGGTACTGGCAAGGTGAAATCTGGTTTATTGAAAAGAAAAGATTCCGAGAATGAGAACTCAGATGTTTCAGCAAGAGAAGTAGATAAGGGCAAGACTTCAAGTTCATTGAAGGCACAAGGAAGTGAGGCCAAGAGTGGAAAGAAGCGTAAGAGAAGCTAGACTTCGGTGTCTATTATTGCTGTTTATTCTTAAACTGCGTGCTTGTCTTCTGCTTATCAGTGTACTCTTCCTCAGCATTTTAATGTCTTTCTCTGGCCCGAGTCATCAAATGAATTTATCAGGTACTGTTCATTAATTGAGGTAATTATCTCGTTGTTGCGAGCATTGTATTATCTTAGGTTTATTAGTTAGGTTAGTTTAGTTGTAGCATGGGTTAGTATCTGTAGTTACTTCCATTGTTTCTAGACTAGATGGATGTTATTTGAAGGCAACACCTGAAAATATTTGGCTAGCAACCTTCATTGCAAGTATGTTTTTTGCACTCACCGATGCGAACAGTTGGACTTTCCCTGTTAACTTTTTACGTTGCTGGGTCTTTGAGCCGTGGTTTATTGGGGACAATACGTAGCACGTACAGCACACTTGGTGTGGGGAAAGTTATTAAAGCTGGCCAGCTGGGGGCTCTAAAGTGGAGAATATAACCCGTTATTTGTACGGTTTTTTCAATCTGCTTTTTCAGGGTTCAATATTAGCCACTATACGCTATATTACTTTCCTGATAACCTCTAGTCTTTGTAGATTGTTAATGTTTTCCAACATCACAGAGATTGGATATGATTATCGATAACACCCTAAGGTGGAAACGTTCTAATATACCTGGAGTTAAAATATCCTTTGAGACGTTAAGTTTGATTGCATTTCTACGCATTATGAGAAAACAACTGTCTTCAATAATTGATATTTCGCTTTGATACATAGGTTTACCTAATAAATAAAGTACGTTAAATCGGTTCCGTTGAATGTGGTATTTGTCTTTGAATTTCCACCAGGCCTCGTGGGGAGGATTCTCCAAGTAAGCCCCACGCTGTTTTAGTCTTTGGTCTTGACAAGCTCACTAGCCCAGTGAAGGTAGCAAAAAGGAAAATAAGCAAAATTTAGGAAAATGCCTACGCAATTAGGCTTTGGCAGGGGTTGGTAATCATTAATTTTTGTTTAAAAGTTAATTAAGAAAAGGATTAAGAGATTTTTCTAATTTTTTTAACCTTATTTTCGTTTTTTTTTCTTTCTATTTTAAAAAATTTTAGTGACTCATCTAACTGAGATTTATCATTTAAATTTGTATTTATTAGATTAAATATTTATTATGATTTAAAATTAGAATGACAAAAAAATAAAAAAAATGTTTTCAGAATGAGAGTTTTTTAAAATATTATAAAAAATAAATAAATAATTTAAAAGTATTCATTTTCAGAGAGAAAAGTATAATAAAAAAAGATAAAAAATACATAAATAAAAATATAAAAAGATAATAATGTAATTTAAATGTTAAATTTTTCATTATTCTTTTCTATCAATATTAAACATTTAAATTAGAGAGGTGTTTATCTCTCTTCTCCTCCCCTCTAAGCTCTTTAAATTCTTTTATTCCTTTCTCCTTTAAATTCTTAAACAAAACTTTAATGATTTTTACTTTATTATTATTATTCCTGTATACTTAGGATCAATTATTATATACATAAGCGATGCAAGAAGGGAGATCATATTCTGGAAATTTTTAGAATGACATACACTTCAAGGATATGTCCTGATTTGCTCTCATAGTTAGAGGTGTTCATGGGTTAGGTTAAGTGTATTTTGATATATATAAAAAAGACCCCACTCAATTAAAATATCACAGGTTATGTTAGGTTAATTTTGATACAAAAATTTATTCCCTCGGCTTGATGAACTTTTTTGACCATAGTTGAGTTGAGTTGGGTTGAGTAGTAGTTAATCCTTACAATATTGTATAAAAAAAATAAAATTTTGTATACGATGGATGACTTAAATTTAATATCTTTAGTAATAAATTTATTAAAACTAAATAAAATTTTGTTTATTTTAAAATATAATATATATATATAATTTAATATTCATCTTACAAGAAGATCATTTTCTATATATAATATCTTTATTTTTATTAAAAAATTATTTTAATAGCACATTTCCAATGCATGAAAATTTCACTAGTTGATTATACAATTACACGCTCACAGGCAATGTTTAAATATCCCATTTCTTGTCACAGACAATAGCTGGTGGTAGTTTTGCCTTTTCATATAATTTGTTGGTCGTTGGAACCCCAAATCTTTAGCTGCCTTTGATCTTTAATCTTTAATTTGTACCATATAATTTAGAAGCTTGAAGATTAGAACGACCGCTACTTTTCTTTCCCCCCATCTTATTGGTGATTATTGTTTATTAGTCTTGTCTTCTCTTTTTATGGTCAAACGTTACTGCAAAGTGAAGTTACTAGGCCTATGCCTTTATAAGAGACCGAAAAACCAATTGAAGATATGGTCAAGCAAAAGTGACTTTGCTTTTGTCCTCTTGCTAAAGGCACAAGTATTGATTATCAGTGATCACTACTCAAGGGAATTGGAATTTTATACTTTTTAAATTGATTTGCAAACAAACTCCACTTTATCTTTTTTAGCTGCGTACTCTATCTGATCCAGATTAATCCATGCACCGGAAAGAACCGGCACTTCATCAGACTTCAATATTAAAATATAAGCTTATGGAAGTTTTTTAAAGAGGTAAATTGTGTGACTTCAAAAAAATTACATAGAGAGAGAAGACAAAATCAAAAGATACTACATTTAAATTTGATAAAGTGATGTATTCAATAATTTTTTATCAAAAATCAAATTTATGAATCTAAATTGTATTTTTTATTTTTTTAAAGCATATTAATTCTACAAAATCTGTATATAATTGAAAAATAATTTGATAGTTCAATCCAGCCATTAAATTTAAAAATCTAAAAATTTTTAAGGTTTGCTTTATTTTAATATATAATATATTATTTAAAATAAAAGTAAATATTATTTGATTACGTATTTACGATATTTAAATTATATAATTATCATGATAATAATATCATATGATTTAATACTTGAATTAATTAAACTTATTTGTGATTAAAAAAATATTAAAAATATCATTTTGTTAAATTTTTTTCAACATAAAATATTTTAAAAAATAAGTCACATAATTATTGTGTTTATGACCTGATTTTTGACGTTGTTTAACCAAGAGGTGTTATTTTAACTATTTTTATTTATCTTATTTAATCTGACTTGTATGACTTATATATAATAAATTTATGATGTTTCTTTTATTCCTTTCCAATACTAAAAATTGAAACACGCATTAAATTTAATTAATCTCTTTTAACTATGATGTCCCGAAGATATCAATTATGAAGTAACCATATACGAATAACATGATCATCCCACATCGATGGGATCATTTACCATATGAAGAAAAAATGTTTAAATTTTCCTAATTTAAAAAGGCAAAGGCTTTTTAAATTGTTTGCCCAAAAGCAAAAGCTTGTGGGACTCGGCACCAGCTATCAACTTCCACTCGCGAATCGTGCAAATAAATCACTTTAGATTAATTACATTATTTTATGGTATTAAATTCCAAAACACACTTAATTATACTTTTAGTTTCTGTATTTTAATTTATAACTTATTTTGGTTTTTCTAATTTATTTATTTACATTTAATCTTAATATTTTTTTATTATATTTTATATATTTCATTTACTATAATTATTCTAAAATTATACTGACAGAACATGACAGCCCTATCCCCAAAAAGTAGTTTCGTGCACTTGCAAGATTCTATTTCATTCCAATTTCCAGATCAAAAAGCTCTCAAGCCAATATTAAATTTCCCTTATTGGAATCAGATTTAGACGTTTATTTTTTTAAAAAAAAATTGAAAATGGATGTAAAGTTTCACTCATTTACTCAACTTTCTCATTTTAAAAACGATACAGAAGGATGTAAAAAAATTGTAATTCGCTACGTTATTTAACTGAATAAAATATTTAGGTGGAGCTCTTTGGGTGTTTTTAATATTATTTATTAATTACAATAATTTTTATTAATAATCTATGATAATATCATCAAATATATTTTTTATCAACGTAAATTTTCAATTTCAAATAATAATTGGTATAAAGAATAGTTAAAAATAGTACCAAAATTTTGTCTAATTCAATTTGATCAATATATAAAAAAATTTAAAAAGAAAAATTTGAGTTTAATAAATTTTAATTGATAAATGAGAATGTGTTAAATAAGTTTGTGTTAGGGCACCCCTCTGTAATTCATAAAAATGCATATTTCTCTTTCTTTACAGGGATCGTATCCTAATTGATTCTTTTAGAACTCAACAAAATAAAACAAGATGCTTGAAACTATTTTAGAAACTTTCTTTACATAAGAATTTTCATGGAACAAGGAGATCCACGCCAATGTATCAGTGAAACTTTACAAAACAATGAGCATCATCATCTCAGAGAAATTTTCACAATGTATCAACGTACCACCTTTTTAACAGCAATTAAATATGTCAGGATAAACCCTCGAATTTTGGTTACAAATAGCATAAAATTCCTATGTGAGTTGGTCGACACCTGAATGTATGTTCAATCAATTCTGAGTAGCTTTTAAAACAGTTTTTATGCAAATTTTATTCAACCTAGATATATCTAGGTCAAATAAATCGGACTTCACCAAAATAATAATAATAAAAGTTTTCAGTACTTAATATGTTTTTAACATTTTGATGATAAATATGTATAAATCAAAATATAAAGTTTATTTATTTATTTTATATCCTTAATTGGTACACGTTAGAAAAATAAATTCTTAATATTCTTAAATTTTTTTAGATTATTTATTGTATCATTAAAAGAGTATGATTATTATATGCTTTTTTTTAGAGTTATTTCTAATAAGATTATATGGTCAAATCCTAGTATTTCAAAAATGAAAAATATAAATCCGTTAAGAAGTGTGCTGAGCAGATGCTCAAGTATTTATGGATAACATTATTTGTACATTCTTTTATTTTACATCATTATTTTAATAATAATAATAATAAAAGAAAATATAATCTTACCTATAATTTCCTAATTTTTTCCCCCTATGCAAATAGGTGCGAAAAAAGATGTACAAAAATACGAATATAAACTGAAGCTTCATGCACGTAGCTATTAGAAACTTTTTGAAACTAACGATAGATCACCGTAATCGTAGACACAACTATACCTTGTGCTATTATTTTCTTCAATCATGAAATTGTATTATGATAAAAGATTTTTCCAACATGTAAATACGATCGATGGAGAGGATAAAAAACTATAGTATTTAATACAATTAATACATTAAATACTATTAAAATTTATAATTTTTAATAAATTGTAATTAATGACTAAAAATATTAAAAAAATGTATTAGAGACAGAGAAATATTATAATTTATAATACATTTTTTATTATCATCTAACATTTATTGCATATTATATAAATTTCCCTTTAAATTAAATATTTTTATTTTTAATAAATGATTAAGAATATATACAAAAAAGCGTTTTTAATAACTCCACTTATTCTAAATTCCAATTTGTTAATAAACGGGTTGACTCAATCGAGTTTATATCGTCAACATGTTTATATATTTAAGGCGTGTATAAGCACACTAACATTACACCTTTCTATATTGAAGAAGATGCATTGAATGGAAATGAAATTAATTAGATTAGCGTTCTCTTTTACTTTGGTTGATTCGATTGTAATCTCACAAATTAAACTTGGTTAATCTATAAACTCATGCAGGATTTCATGACTCCAAATCTAAATATCTAACTCTAACAATCACACAGATATA